AAAAACTGTAGGCCAATTCCTTATATATCATTTTGTAGTGGAAGGTGAAGGGAGAGATTAGCTAATAATCTGTTATAGAGCTAAGAGCTCTGATTTTAGGAATAAGAGAGTAGTGGAAATGTCTTGCACATGCCTTGATCACTTGCAAGGGAATGCCTTGATCACTTGCAAGGGAAGTGATGATTTTAGTCCCTAGTTGCTTGGAGGATTTTCATTATGAACTCATAAAAGTCTAGAGATTTATTCAAAGTAATAGAGAACACCACCTCTTGAATATATGCCTTCATAATTAATGTCCTTATTAAGAGAGGAATGATATCATCAGGAAAGATATTGCCTCATGGGATGCTGATAATGGAGTCGATCAAGTGGAGGTTATTATTAAAGAATGGCAAAGCTTCAAAAGCAATATGATGGTGAAAAGTATCTCACCAAAGCTCTAAATTATGCTAAAAGCTAACATTCACTTAATTCTTTGATAAAAAAAACTTGAGATTAATGTCCACACTCTGGGAAAGTAAGTATATCATAACTCTTAACAAGCAAGAGATGTTCAAGAAGATATGTATGATTTTGGAGAATTAGAGTTTGTCTTCTTAAATTGTCTTTTTTTTTTCTTAAATTGCATTGGTATGTGGATCAAATTTAATAATAGATATATGAATATGCTTTAATCACTCAGGTTTCATTTGTGATGTCTTTCTTATTGTTTATTAAATAAACTTTTTTTAGTACAAAAATTAAAATTTTTATATTAAAAAACTGTTTTAAGAAGCAGTAAGAAAGCCGACCGAAATGAAGCCTCATATACTTCAATTAAATATATAAGGATCTTAGAAGAGTATGTAGGGTTCCATGCTTTGAGCATGTTCAATCTTTTGAACAAAACTTATGATAATAAACACTTCTTTATCATCAAACATCCACTCCACAAAGTCTAAAATTTTTTATTAACTTGCTAATGATATTTTCATGTTAGTAAATCCTTATCCTCTACTCCCACTATGCTAAATAAGAACCTTAGCTCCTTTCATGTTTTCTTTTAGTCTTTATTTTTAACCTTAATAAAATATTCACCATCTTTTCTCAAAGTGACTAATAAGAAGCATTGCTTCTTTTACTTGATTATTTATTAAGGACTTTCTAGTAGTTATTTAGCTTTCCCCTATCATCTATTAATATCAAAAGTCAAACTTGTTAGTGATGCAATAAAAATACATGTTCAAGATTAAAAAAGAGCATGAATTCAAGATGAATGGAGCATCATGATCATAATCATCTTAAACAATATAATTTACAAGAAAACAAAGCAACAGAGTACCCCTTTATGAAGAAAATATATATGTGCTTAATTTCAACCATCACTCCGCTTTCCACATAGGACATGCTCAAATAATCACATTGAAAAAGATATATTTTATAGCATTGATAATTAAATGATTAAAGAATGATTTCAAAATATATATGAAGATTCAAAGAGGAAAAAAATATTTATAGCATTTATAATGAAATGATTAAACAACTATTTCAAGATATAAAAACTCAAAGAGGAAAATAATAAGTGGTATGTAATAATAATATGAACATAATGTGCTTTTAATTGTAATTTTTTTATTCTATAATTTATCTTCTTATAAAAAAATTTTCTACTAATTTTTTTTTTAAACTATTAATATCAGGTCAAAGCTGAGATGAAAAAGGTTGAGGGTAATCTTAAAATTGAAAATTTATGCCCCTACAAAAAAAATATCGTGGCTCTGCCACTAGGTGCAGATAGATTCATGCCCCAATTCAGATAATGAATACACCTTCTCCATTTTGGTTATCATATAATGCATTTTTATTGTAAATTTTGATCATGATGATTGTTGAAGGAAAATATTTTCATATGTTTATCATATACAATGATATAAGGTATATATTTATTATTAATAATTATTATTTAATGAATATCATATTTGCATATGCATTAGTTAAGAAAACCCTTCAACCAGAGATATATCCTAATCATTTTCATATTAATTGGTTAAATAATATCTCCCTATATGTGATCACTAGATGTTAATCCACATAAACTTAGGCAATTATCAAGCTAAAAATTGATGTATTTCATCTTGTTTGATTTATCATGTATTCTCTTAGGAAGACTGCTTATATAACCTAGATGTAGTTCATTATGATAAGAAAAATACTTATATTGTCAATCATAATAAAAAAATAATTAAAGTTCCTATTAAAAACTAGCAAAAAAAAAAAAAAAAAAATAGGCTAACCCATAAAAGATTAATGCTAATCTAAGTTCACAACAATTGATCTTGATAAGGTCCTCAAAATTTAGAGACATGTCCAATCACCCATAATTAATCCATTACTTTGGACACCCCTACTAATTATGACTTGTATTCCCTTATTATCTTGCAAAGTCATGATAATAAGATTGGACCCAATATATCTTAGCCACCCTTCATAAGGAATCTACCCCCAATCGAGATTTACATACTTATTGTGTTATTCAAGTCTTTAGTTGGTATTTAAGAACCTAGTAAGATACATACTACTAATATCAAACATGAGAAACTTAATCTATTTATAATTGTTTGTTTGTTATTGTTTCACCGTTATTGAGATTCACATATTTTTCATGGCCTTAGATCCTTGACAAATTTAACACATATCCATTAATTAAATCATTGATAAATGTCATTTATTTTTATATGAGTATTAGTTTTCCCCTAACTCCTTTGATTAAATTCTTTTTGATCTAAATATTAACTTTGATGCTCTATTTTTAAACCCTCCTAATCTAGTGGCTATGATTCATCATTTTTGGTATGCCTTTGCATTATCCTTAATATAAAAGTGCATAACCTGCATACACTTATGCTATATAACTAGATGATTTTTATAATGATGAATATGATGAAATGGATTAAACTAATTTGTAATTGTACCTATCATGGGAATATAGAATGTAAATTTTATTTTAACTTACATATAATCCCTTCATATGATTTTACAACATTGTATATGATGAATATGAATATTATACAGATGAATACTTATCTCGGCTAATCTCTTATCGTACTCTCTTCTCTAATTTTCTCTAATTTTCATGAGATTATGGACCTTTCAATTAAGATGTATTATTGTACATAAAATTTTGTAGATGACATCTTTGGTAAAAAGTAAAGTTCATTTTGTGTGTTTGTCTCAATACCTGGTATGGTGGTGCTCATGTTGTTGGAAATCATTGCTAGTAACTATTAGTCATTGTTTAATGATTTGAAGAACTTTAGATCACAGCGAGGGTCATAAAATTCTTTTATTGAAATATGATTAATTGTTTGTATTGCCTCTTTGGATGCATCAGACATTCGATTGTGATAACCATGTGGATATCCATATATCTTGTAACATCGTTTCCTTATGTGACAGTGGATATTGCAGAATATACATAATGGTTATCTTCTTAGACCCTTTAATGTAGAAGGGATCAAAGTCCGTAGCTCCAGATTTATTATTGTTAGCATAATTGTGGTTGTTTGCTTTGATGCCATTTGAAGTTTTTACAACAAATACTTTACCCTTCTCTTCATTTGGGGTATGAAAAGATTAATTTGGGAAATACTATGTTGGTTTTCTTCTTGAGATATCAAATAAAAAACCTTATTAATCAGGGGGAGAGGATCCATTAAAAGGATTTGCACTCTTATTTTTGTGACATATTCATTAAATCTCTTGAGGAATGATATGGTGTACTCATTTTGATAATTATAAGTGAGCTGCTCTATTCCCCTTTAAAAACACATACCATAAGTGTATATATGTCTAAAGTTGTGCGATTCTTCCCAAATTATTTTGAGTTTAGTGAAGTAAACGCTGAAAGAATTATGTTCTTGTTTTAGGTTAATCAATTCATGTCATACTTAGAAAATCTTGGGGCCATTAATCTGCTGAAACCCATCTTTAAGTTCCTTCCACACGTCTAAGGCATAATATAATACTTGTTGAAATTTTCTTGGATGCCAAATTGAGAATCCAAAAAATGATAACATTATTATTTCTTATCAAAGAACACATGAGGTTGGAGTCAGTCCTACAAGTTTCTTTAAAGTGTCCTCTATGAACCCAAACTTATTTTTAGCATATAAAATAATTACCATGGCTCTACTCCAAGATGCTTAGTTATCCCTAATCAAAATTTGTAAAACCAATGAGATAATGAGGTTATCAGAATGATGAAGGTAGTATGGATCTTCAATCAAAGATCTTACCCCAGACCTTTCGGCTACGATTTGCTAGTTGTCCATGACGAGTGGCTTTACACACTTGGATCTCAGATTTACTAAATCCAAGATTTCATGGATTAGTTTAAATATTGTGCCTCTTTTTTGTAGTACAATCTCTACTTCTCATAACATAATTTGGTATATATATAAATCAAGAAAACGGCCTACATGGCTATATTTACAAAAATAAGTAAAATATATGTGATTTTGTCGGTGATATAATTGAAATGTAAAAAAGAAGAGAGTAGTATTAACTCCCTCAAATGCATCGAATGTGCTAGAAAAAAGAACAGTATTAATTTCTTTAAGAAAAGAATACCCAATAAATCAACAATATATGATCAAAGAAGGCTTTTTTAGTTGGAAGAATTGCACCAGACCAAAAGCTGGAACCGACTGCATCAAAACTTAAGCCATCCAGTCACGTGCCGACGCACCAATCTCTTTTGAGCAATTATTAGGTGTGGACACCGCATGCAGAGATGCATTCGAATACTGTATATTTTATGTTTAAGCTCTGCCTACACTCTGCTTATTTACTGTATATATAATACGTTTTTGTAAATATGAAGTAAATAAGCAGTAAATATTTATTTGTGAAGGTTTGCTGTTTATTTACAGTGTATTTACAAATACGTAGAGTGTAAGCAGAACATATGCTGAGTATAAGCAAAGCGTACGCAGTGTATCCAGTAATCCGGACGCATCTCTTAATTAGGTGTCCGCACCTAATAATTGCTAGAAGATAAGGCCGTTCCATCACTAATTAATTTAATGTGAGAGAGAGACAAAGGGAGAGTGAGAGAAAGAGAGGTTAGGGGGAGTTGCAGGCCTGAGCCTTTAGCTCTTCAGTCATTACTATTCCTATCTTCACTGACCTACTGCACAGCAAGCGTTCAATAATGGCTTCTTTAAGCAACCAGTTTCGTCCTACAAACTTGAGGATGAGGATTCGACGAACCAATCCATCCATTTCTTGCTCAAAACAGCCACCTCAGAACAACATCAAGGTGCTTCGACAACTTGAAAGCTCTCTTAGTCAAATAAGGCCCAATTGGCGGTTTAAGCTTGTACTGAAATCCACTAGTGGTATTTCATGCTACTTTTGGGAGATTTTGTTGAAAGAAGGTCGTGATCAATAGTGCGACTAAGAACATCGGTAGGGCTGCCATTGCAGCTGTAACCAGAGCCAGAGGAACGGAGATATCTGGAGCTGTGGACAAGTTATTAATAGGAGAAGATGCAGGAAAGGTTCTCTGTGCTCTTCTTTCCATCTTGATTGAAGCCTTGCTCATGTATTCTTCTACCATTACTGCAAGTTTCTGAGCTATTCCTTATAGGTGAGTGGTATGGATGAGCCATTGGAAGTTCCAATTCTAAATGATCTGACCATGGTATTAGGGTCGATTTCACAGGTATTAGCTTAAGGAGATGCAATTGAATGTTTTCTTAGGGGGTGTTTGGTATCGGATTTGTTCGTCATTTTTAGTAGGATTTAGCGTAAATCCAGCCAAATGCAATTCACGCCACTGTAAATCCGTCAAATCCATAAATCCTGCTCTGTAAATCCAGGATTTACGGATTTACGACATAAATCCGATAAATCCGTCTAAACCCTAATCCCATTCCTATTTGGATTTAACACGACTTGCAGTTGTGGCGCCGTGTCGCGATGTGTTGTCAAACAACTTCTCTGGATTTAACAGGATTTAAATTTTGTTATACCAAAAATTTTTCAGGATTTACGAGCTAGGATTTTCTAAATCAGGATTTACATGATTTAGTAAATCCTACTAAAATTGAATCAAATCCTATACCAAAAACCTCCTTAGGGGATGTTTGGCATTGAATTAGATTTAATTTAGTAGGATTTAGTAAATATTGTAAATCCGGATTTAATAAATCCTGAGGCTGTTAAATCTTGAAAATTGTTTGGTATGATAGATGTTAAATCCTGAGAAACTATTTGACAACATATTGTAACATTTCAAACAGTTAAATCCGCGGAGTTGGGATGATACCTGCGCGTAGACAAGTACCTGCGCCGCTCAACTGTAAATCCCGTTAAATCCACAGAAGAATCGGATTAGGATTTATCCTGATTTATACGGATTTGGGGCGTAAATCCAGGATTTAAGTCGTTGCCGGATTTACAGTCATGCAAAATACCGTTTGGCTGGATTTAGCGTAAATCCGACTTAAATCCCGCTGTAAATCCGATATCAAACCCCTTAGGGGCTGTTTGGCAACAAGTGGGATTTAATTTTAGTGGGATTTAATAAATCCTGTAAATCCGGATTTAGTAAATCCGAAATGTGTTAAATCCTAAAAACTGTTTGGTATTCAAAATGTTAAATCTTGTTAAATCCTGAGAAACTGTTTGGTAACATATATCAGGATTTATGGCGGTTAGGGATTTAAGTTTAAATGAGATATTTATGAAATCAAGATCATTACATAAAACATAATAAAACCAATTTTAATTCATATAAAATAACCGAAAATTCAATAAAAAGTAAATTACAAACTAACATGGACCAAAATGAGAGTTAAAATATTAAATAAGCTAATTATATTATATTTAGTTACTAATTATATTATTAATTAATCAATTAAGTTAAATTAGATAAATAATTTATGCACTAATTCTACTATTAGTTATTTAATTAATTAACTTAATTATTATTTGTTTAAATTATATTACTTAAGTTAATCAATAATAACTTTGAGGCGTCTAGGCTGTAAGCAAGTGACTACCTTATCTTAAACTGTACCCGCTGTATTTACTTCTTTACCTGTTTTACTCTATTTAAATTTTAAACTCTTTCTGTATCTCTTTGGAAACAATATACATAAGGGCAAATTTTCAATATAAGTATCATTAGGAAGTTAATTAAGAAGATAAGCATAATTAAAAAAATAAATAAAAAGTAGGCATAATCGCGGTTTCATTCGGCGATTTAAGCTGCAAGTAAAGTCGCCTGTCTAACGGGCGACTTAGGTTAAATATAAGTCGTCCGTTAGACGGGCGATTATGCCTAGTTTTAAAATTTATAAAATAATGCTTAATCCCGTAATGAAGATTTTAATCATGCTTAGTTCTAAAAATTGTCCTATACAGAATTATCTCTTCTCTTCCTTTTCGTCTCCGTGTCTGTTCTCCTGTCTGTGCCTTCCGCTCAAGAACTCTCTCATAGGCTTTGCCTTTCATCTTTTCTTTTCGTCGTTGCTGTTCGGCTTCGTTGATTCGCAGTAGGTGTAGATATTGCGCATGTCGCTACTTTGGCTCCTTCGTGGCTGTTCGACTTCGCTCCTTCGACGACTTTCCATTCTTGTCGGATCGGAAGTTACGACATTTTGATCGAAAGCAAGAACAGGAGCTCGCTGGCTGTGAAGTTAACTTTCTCCCTTTCGCGCGCTTCTAATGTTAAATCCCTTTAAATCCACCGAACCGAGGGATTTAGTAAATCCGGGATTTAAGCCGTAAATCCGTAAATCCGGGATTTACGGAATCCCGGGATTTAACGCGCGCACAAAAACCGTTTGGCTGGATTTAGCGTAAATCCGACTTAAATCCCACCAGAAATCCGATACCAAACAGCCCCTTAATGTTATCCTAGACTTTCATTTGCTTGTGATTAATTGGCAGTCAAAGGCAACAGGTGAGGTTGTAGATTTTACCGAACCCTCTACAGTTTTTGACAATGTTAAGCAGGCAAGTCTACATTACTTTTTTCTTCAATAAAGAGTCTATAAAATCTTTTTTTCAAGCCAAAGGTTGAAACCTGCGTGGTTCACTTTTTTCTTCCTACGGGCAGCAGCTTTTGGCTTAAGAAGCATGGTTCATGTGCCTAAGCTTGAGCTAGAGATGGTCTCAGCACCATCTGCGTTCTGTGAAAAGGCAAGCATGGTAAGGCTATGTGATGTACTTATATGGAATGTGTAGTCACCAAGATTGTAAAATGCTACTAAAAAATCATTTCTCTCTTTCAAAACTAACAGAGTTCTTTGTTCTGATTTGCTTTGCATCATGTGACAGGGTTGTCTTGTTGCTCTTACACTCTCTGTTGGTTCTGTGCTCTTCCAGCAAGCTGCAATTTCAGCTTCTTTCCATTACAGTAATGTGGAGATTGTTGAATCCAGGCCTACTCCATCTGTAAGTTTAAGCATTGCATAGTTGAATCTTAAAATTGCAATAGCAATGCAACAGATTGCAATTCTTCACCTTTCAACAACTTCGATGGCCTTTGTTTCTAGCAGTATCCATTTACGCAGCTAATAGTTTTAAAGCATAAATTTAGAGATTACTTCATAAAGGATTTTTGGTGTTCTAGTCTAAAGGAGCATTTGGGACAGTTTTTTCATAATTTTATTTTAGAGATCATTGTCACATTTCTGTTTGACTATCATAAGTTTGATGTTTTTTTTTTTAAATTTCTTTGGTAAGAAAGAATTTTTCATAACATATTTATTAGAATATGATACAATAACAACAACAAAAACAAACCTTTATCCCAGTGGGGTTTGAATCTTTATTCTCCATTGTGTCTTGTTAAGAGTCAAATTCTCATTTAAATTCAATAAATAAAGGTAATTTTAATATTTTTTAATCAAATCTTTTTTTAAGTCTACCTCTACCTTTCTTAACATAAGCCAAATTTAATACATCTACTCTCGTAATCGGGTCATCAGAAGGCTATTGTTTTATGTGACCAAACGATCTAAGGCAGCCCTCTCTAATCTTATTTTTCATTGGAGCTACTCCAACATTTTCTTAGAATATGATAACTATATATAAAAAAAAACTACTCTTAATATTTGTGAGGAGAAAAACAAAGCCCCCAAAAATACAAATATTAAGTTTCTTATAATTCTCCGCTAATTCTTTAAACTTACCGTTCAAAGCCCCCAAAAATACAAATATTAAGTTTTTTCGCTCAGTCAAATTTCAAGAAGCAAAAGCTAATTTTGTTTTAGACCTGATCAACACTTCCCACGTTTTCCCATTATTGCTTGGCTTAATTTTATGCATTAATTACAGCTTCTAATGATAAGTAATTTGCAGAACTTGATATATGGCTTGGAGAAGTTCTTGTAGCGAGCAAATATCACTTCAAAAATCCAAAAAACGTTATTAATATCACCATTTTGAAGTGGGCAAAGACCGACTACAGCACTGAAGATGATAATCAGCAGCTGCCTGATTCAGAATCTTAATGACGATCATTGCTTGTTTCCTGACTGTATTGTTGCATCAGATAAGTAACTAGTAAATTTGTTCTGATTTACTTGTATGGGGCTTTCAGTTGTTGAGTTTAATCAGAGTTTATGTACCCCTTGTTGAGCCCAATTTTCACTCCCCGTACATTTGTCTCACAACAGATTTCCGTTCAAGGCTAAAATGTCACAGGTGAAAATGCTTTTCTTATTTTTGGGAGAAATTATTTTGTGTGGACACCGTACCATCCAGAGGAGATCAGAGCACGCCACGTCACCCGATACACAATGGGTACACACCCGCGACACACAGCACCTGGGTAACATGACGCGCTCTGATTTGCATCTGGACGCGTACTGTGTCCGCACAAAATAATTTCACTATTTTTGGAGCTTCAAACTTTAGGTGAGCAATTTTAGGATATAGTGATTAATTTTTTTATTACAGTCAGTCTCAAAAATTTTATATCTATTTTGTGGTTATTAAAATATAAAAATTGGGATTTCACAGTTCAAAATTTTAAACTAGTTTATGATGATGATGATGATGATGATGATGAAAGGTATGAGAGCAGTTGAATGCTTAAAAATAAAGACTGATAGCCATAAAAGAAATGGAAGTCCCAGAAATCACTACAGCCTTTGTTAACAGAGAAAAACTAATGAAGAGGCTTCATTTCTTAAAGTTTATAGAAGTAATTTCTCTGGGAAGTTTCATCATTGGAAGTTCAAAGGAACAGAATTGAGTCAAGATAACTATAAATATGCATTCTTCGAGGTTTGAAGTTGTTAGTTATCTTGTACGCATGTATTTCAGCATTCAGCAATGATTGCGTTCCACCAAAAAGCAAGAAAAAGAAGTAAATAATTCCACGGGATGATATGTGTATCAAAACACAGAAGTAATCCTCATCTCGGGTTCGAATCCTCTCTATTACGGCCTCGCCTCTTCAGTGGGGTAAAGCACGTGTGGGCCTGATGCCGGTGGTTGGCCTCGCTAGTTTCTGCCGAGAGATTAGTTACGCCGCCAAACGGCCTCTTTGAAGTGGCTGCCGGGTTACTCAAGACTCGATGGATGCCATGATTACACTCTGGAGAAGACTTAACAGATGAAGGCTTTTGTGGTAAGAACCAAATTTCTCTTATCCGATGGGCATTGTTAAACGGGCTTTATTTTGATTATGAGATGCTGGCTTTATGGGCACAAGTGTGCAAGATATGTATGTCCTAGTAAGAGCCTAGCAATACATACAAGCAATAAAAATAATGCAATAGATAAATAAATTGCATCGAAGCAAAGTATTATATTTATATCCACACAAAATGAAGCATGCATGATTTCACATTGAATAAGCACTGTTGAATTTCAGTGTAAATTCAAGGGCCAAGATTTACAAAGACGTACTTGAAGCTAGGGCATTTTATATCTGATGGCTCGGATTAAAGGATTCATCGATGAATAGCCAATGAGTCTACATAATGTTGGGTGGCTAGCCAAATTATTGTTTGTTAAGGTTTTGGTGACTCTCTAGTGGACCAAGATATTAGTTTAGAACTGATGAGCATACAAGTGGGTCTAAAACCGACGGTCCAAAAGCTAACAACTTTTATATTATCAATCCTGTTAATTAACACAGGGCAACGCTAAGCCAAAGTCAGTGGATACAGATGGGCATAAACTATGGCTAGTGGATGTGAGCATCAGTGAACGATACCCACTAATTATCAAGTGGGTGTGTCAATAGGGCGATAAGGATGGCATCAAGCATTTTTGTACTTAACCATGTTACCTTACTACGAGGGATGTGATCTATCTTGGGAATGATCATTTACCTCTATCGGAAGCCAACTGTTGTCAAATATCGTCTAGTATGACATTGATTGATAGCTTGGGAGGTGGCAGTCGAACTAGAGGATGTATTTTCATGGCGATTTCCTAATGATTTAAGTGGGTAGAGACCTAATACTTAGGATTAAGTTACAAGGCCTATGAAGAGCCTAGTAGTGGAGGTAGAGAAGGTACCAAACCTTCTCTAGGCAATACAAATTATGAACCAGAGAGAAGAGACACAAAGTTTGATGCTTAATGATGACTGGAAGATGAGGGTAACACTTAACCTTGAAGATATATGCATGTGTATAGGTGTTTCCTTTCTCATGAGGTTACTAACCACAAGTCATCTACACTCCTTGCAGCCTTGTTATAGTAAGTTAAATTTGACAAGTCTGAGGGTGGTTGAAGATCCCTAGAGATAGTCATTGCTAACACAAACTCTTAGCTTCCCGTTTAGACTTCTCAAAGGGTCTTACACAAGGGATGGTCACCAAGGATAAACTTGCAACCTTGACGAAGTCAAGTATAGGGGTACTTATAATGGAGGATAGCCAAGATTATTTGGTTATTGCATTGGTGGGAGTTAGGTAGCATAGAAGCCTCATTTTCGTGTCACCCAAAAATGGAAGAGGTACAAAAACTTTTCCAATCTTCATTTCCTTTAGCATGTGGAATGAGAAAATTTCATATAGAGAGAATGTTGTAGTGCGTGAATCAAAACACTTTATAAGTAGAAGTCGATGGTTTCAAAGTTAATGTGAGAATGTGTTGATGAATCCAACTAGGGATTCAAGCATTGGGTGGAAGATATTGATGGTGGAGCGTAGTTGTTGGTGGGGAGAATGACTTCACTAAGTGATTGATAAAGTCCTAGTAAACAAAAGCAAATCATACAAAAGATGGGGTAGAGCGTATGTTATTGTTGATTTTAGTTATCAAATAATATCCCAAGAAAAGATTGTTCATGGGATGGGATAAAGGTGTTATCCAAGTTGACAATATAAGCCTCAGTAAAGTTAAGCCCATGGGCATCAATCAAGATATCACGACTCGGCTTGATATAACCCATATACTCTCATGGGTTGCACTAAGTTGGATACGAGTTCGATCAATTTCCCAAAATCTTTTATTCGACAAAATTTCTTTTTTCGTTTCATTTAAATACAGAGCCACTAAAATTCATTTATATACAAAATTTAACGATAATCCAAAATATAAACATTTAGAGTCATTCTCAACACAAAGTATGTATTACAATAATCATGATACGTTGTTCATCTCTTAATAAAATACATCAAATCACATGATTACAAAAGAATCTATCTTTATTGTTGTAAAAGAGTACCTTTGCAGCAACAATCTTCTCTCTCTCTCTCTCTAACTATTTCACTTGTCCTTTTTTTCTTCTTGAAATATGTAAACAATAGAATAACTGTACAGCTCAACATATCACATGTAACCTACACTTGTATTCAATGCAAGAAACGAAATCAATATGCATGCTGGTATCAATGAAATCACAATCTATGCTGAATCAAAATTATTCTATGCTTAAAAATATTCCTACATCATATGTATGCAAGTATGGTCAATTTATCAAGTTAGAATCATGTGTTCATGCCTATTGTAATGATCATTTTTTATAATCATATATAGTTGTATATCAATGTATATATGTTGTATGTATCATTATATCAATTAAGATATAAGTATATCACTCATATCATTATGTATTCTGATGAATCATCATATACATCAACTATAGATGTTATGTTCCTATATATCAATGCCATGCATACTATTATACTCATATGCATCATTACCTTTTATGTATCAATATTATAGATCATATCATATTAGAATCATTATTATATATGAAAACCAATAATCATTTGATAGTATTTTGTATTTATAATTGTAATCTACATAACATAGTTATTAGAATGATCATGTGTCATTATGGGCATTATATTATTATCATGCATAGTAGTGTCATGTATTATGTGAAATCTTCATATTGGTGTGTCAATTATATGCATAATAGAATGAATGTAGAAATCATGCATCGTTATAAGGAATGCTCTTTATATCAATTTATTAGTTTAGGCGGCATTAGAATTAAGTCAGCTCATGTTGTGTTAGAAGTAGTATCATATATATACATCAGAAATTTATGTGTCAATAGCAAGTCTGGATTATGGACAATCATATCACATTTGTCATATGGTTGTATAGTATAACCTATTATACAATATCAATCGTATCAGTCTCATTCATAGTCATTTGGCTTCACGTAGCAATCATCACTCTCTATAACGCCTCCCATCGTATCATATTTATTTTAAGGAAAGATTGTTAACCTACCCTCCTGCCAGAGTATCATATTATATCTCTGCGAACCTAAATCAGTCTCATTCAATCATATTTAGTAGTTAGCTTTTTTTGCAAACACATATTTCACAACAACTGTTCATGACAACTATGTGAATTAGTGTGTGTGTGTGTGTATATATATATATATATATATATATATTGTAGCCAATTAATTTATACCATTTAAATCACAAATGTCATGTCAACTATGCATGTTCGGCCACTGTTTATGGTATGCCAGGTAAATTTAACATGCATGTATATCATTTTGTCATATCTTCATGCATTAATTATATATTAATTGTGTATACATCTTTATCTTATTTTTTTTCGAGGGGTATGCATCAACTATAAAAATATTCTATGAAATATCAATATGATCATGTCAAGATGTGCAAAATAATTATATTTATAATATACTAAAAGTTACATGGAAAAAAACTTCTAGAAATCAAGATATCTTGCATGTTAGTATTAACCATTTTGTTAGGTCCTATCCAGTTTATGAGCTATATAAGATGTAGTATACAATTATACATGAGATTCAGCAATTTTAAGCTATGCAAGGTGTTTGGGATTACTTTTAAGCCTTCTTAGATCGACAACCTATTGGATTAGCAACTAAGCATAAGGAGAGGCTAGTGTATTGGCGTATCAAGCAATTATTGATTTATAAGCCAACAACCCGAACCTGACCCGATTTTACAAATGACCTGTTTTTAATTAATTTATGAGAGTTTTAATGGATTTTTATGAAATAAGTAAATAATATTTCAAAAAATTATAAACATTATTGCCCAAATTAAATTAATCTTGATTTATTTTAAATTAATTGAAGTAAATCTTACCTTAATTTGATTTAGATTTAAATAAATTGAATTAAATAAAAAATTAATAAAATATACCCGAATTGGGTCGGGTTCAGGTTGACCCAAATCCGAAGTGGGTCGGGTTCGGGTTCGGAAAACCGACCCGTTTGCAAAAACGGATCGGGTTGAACAATGTCGGGTCAATTTCGGGTTGGACCCGTGATCCGGTTTTGATAGCCCTACTCATGATGATAGACTACTGAGGAGGGTTTTGATTTCTATAATGATATTCCTGGATCAATGATCTATTAGATCGATTATAAAGTGTAAA